AGCCGGGTGATGAAACGTTTGCAAGAAAAGAACCAAGCTCAGAGAACCCCAAGGACTCCACATTCTAAATGTGCGACGGTTGCCAAGCACCCAAATTTTGATCATGTGACTGCGGGGACACTGCAATGGTGATAAGTGCAAGGACTGGTTGTTAAGTCCATTTTTTCAGCACCATCATAACTTTGAATGGTCACTGAACAAATGGTTGTTAAGTGAGGACTACCTATAACTTCTATGGTACAAAATATCTATATGCAACTAATCTTTGCCTTCTTTGGCAATCCAAATCTCTTCTAAAACTGGTTTTCTATTCCTTGGGCTGGGACTCTGAGCTTCTCTCATACCTGTCCTTCTACCCAAACCTCCCCCAATCCCTCTTCTATCAGCCTCCCCTCTTTCTAGAATTTAAACTGGGAAGCACTGCCTTATCCTACCAGTTTTTATGAGCAGCAGTTGTAATACTGTACCCAATTGTCAACTAGAGTAACCTAGTGGTTTAAAAAATAAAACATTAATGTTATTTATAATGTTGGTTTCTGTGACTGTTTATTGGAAAAAATACTTTTGGGGAATGCCATATAACAATATTCATTGTCTCACTCATTGATGCAGGGAGCAAGAGGGGACAAGTAACAAAAAGACACATCATGGAATCGTGACTCAAAATCCACAAGTTGCATGCATCCGTCAGGAGTACATAAGGGCAGATTTGCATCATGATTTCACCGCACATGTTTTGTCATTCGACAATCTTGGTTTGAGGAGGACTTGTGGATTTGTCTCACATGGCATTACCCAAAAGTCATTTCACCAATATTTCTTATCCATGTCTATGTCTATGTATATATAAGCAAGCTATAAATAAAACAGAGTGAATTCAGAATCTGTTTTATTTTCCATCAGCACTTCTCCAAACCAATACTTTCTTAGTATTTTGGTTTTATTTCCAAAATATTCTGAACATCATGGAAGTCTATGTTGAAGAATGCTAGTATAGGTTTTGCTGACAACCAATACAACTTCCTTCTCAAATTACTGTTCCATACAGATGATTCTTACCACAGGAACTACTGAAGAAGTATTCCCTGGTTTCCAAGGTTCACCAGGGGGGTCTTAAGGAGATATTTTCAGGTAGAACTGATTTATTAAATAATATCTTCATCTCTTCATAGTTCATTCCTTCTGCTTTATTGGACATGCTTGATTAATATAATATTGTTCATACTTTGAAAATATAGAAGTCACTACCTACTGTTCTGAATCATACAGCAGTTACTTTTGCAAATCTGCCTTAATGGTATAGTTCCCTCTCAGTAGGAAATAGAACAAAGGAAACAAAAAGGTCTGATTTCAAACTGAACAGTAAAGATAAAAAAAACGTTTTTCGTGTAAATGTTCTCAGTCTGTCTAGCTCCCATTAACCACCCCTTTTGAAAAGCTGCTTTGATTTCACAGTAAATTAATTTAAAATTAAATACTGACTTCCTGCTGCAGAGGACATGGGGCTCCATGTATATTTTAATTTATAATAAATTTCATTTTTCATGCCTGAAGCTGTACCCTGTGCTTAAGAAAGTGCTCCATGTAATTGCTGGGCATGATTCTGAATCAATTCTCTGCAGGCCAAAAGATCAATTTATAGTCAGGAGAGTTAATTTTTCGTCACCACCGGAAACAAACTATAATGTGCAAGGGAATAAACTGTAATTCAGTGTGAGAACTCTGCCATGTAATTTTTTTCTTTCCTTCTCCTTTCTTCTTGGTAGATTGAAATTCCTTCCTGCTCAACCCCAATTACAATCATAATGCAAATAATTTAATTCATCCATTTTCTTTACATTAATTGGAGCATTACATGAAATATTGTAAAATGAAGCCGCCTGTCTTGAGGTGCCTTATATTATCTGATGAATAGTAATGAACACAAAGATGAGTTGGGAGCAGAATAGCTTTGCTCAGAATCTGTTCTTCTGTTTTTGAGACAGTTAATTTTAGACTCCATCTGAAGTTACATTTTGAGTGGAGGAGGCAAAAGAAAGGGGCAATTCCTCCCTCCTTCTAAAAGTGGCCTCTGAAAGATTGCCACAAAATGGGGAATGCCCTGCAAGGAAAATGGTGGCCATGGAGAATGGAAAAGGAAAGAGACTTGCAAAACGTTGACCTATATTCATTGAAAATAATTAATTTGAAGTAAACACCTGTACAGTTGAAATCTCCCTTGAGTTGAATTCGGTATCTGGATACTTCATAGTAGTTTTCTTAACAATAAGGAAATGCTCTGCCATTGCCTTCTTCCAGGAAGTTTTCTTGACTTCCTAGTCTAGTCCACAGACCTGGGATTCCCCGGCAGTTTCCCATCCTATTCTCAATGATGTCTGACTCTGTTTAGCTTTTTCAAGATTAGCTAAGGTCAGCTCAGTGCTGCTGCTTGCCCAGCACCAAACCCTAATACAGTGGTACCTCAGGTCACGAACGTTTCTGTTCACGACCAATTCGGGTCACGAACAGCACTGTTCACAAAATTTGGCTTACGTTCGCAAACGCCAGATCGGGTGACGAACAGGATC